AATGCTCCAAAATAAATAGTCTAAAAGCATTGGAGAAATGGGTATAATTTTAACGAAATCCTCATCCTTACAAAAAATATTTCGAACATAACCTATTTTGAAAATTATTACAAAACGTTACTGATTTTGTTAATATTGATATAAGTAATCATATGGATTAATGGGGAGAGGGAGGGGTGGGAAGTTAATTCCATTCCACATACAACGGTCTGCAAAAAATTTTCTCCCGCAATTTTCATATTTCTCCCGCAAAATAAAAATGTTTACCTAATTTCTCCCTAAATTTGAAAATTTTGACCTGACAACTGATCGTGAACGATTAAATTTTATCACAAATGAATATGAAATAGTTTAGCCAAGAAGGAAAGAAAGGAAGGAAGGAAGAAACAAATTTTTTGTTTTTCACCACTTTTAAAAATAGATAATAGTTCCAATTAAATAACAGCATTTTTAGGAAAAACAAGGCTAAACGCTTCTGCTCATTTTGTAAGAAGGTATACACATTTTTGAAAATAAAATGAGTCAGGATTTTTTTAAAATATAAATAGAAAATGTTCCATCAAGAAAATAATGTTGTTCCAATATCGGGACACCGGGGAAGAATGGGTTAGGTATGAAATCCTCATACTTGTCCGTGATAGAATATTCATTTACCATTCGAAAGGGCTGCTAGGATTATGTGGTGCGAAGCTATTTAAACTCTGTTTTCGGTGAACACTCTTCATGAGATTAAGTGAAGGTTCAATTTCGCCAGTAAGGATCAAGGTTTAACTGAACTCAATGAATTAGTATATTTACAAAGCCTAAATTCCTTGAGCGAAAGATATAAGGCAGGATAGCAAACAAAATATATTCCAATAATAAATTTTACAAACCTAATCTAAGTTCATCATTATATAAATTTTTTAAGGTTAAAAGAATCTTAAAACTCTATCATTTAATTAATCATATACCTATTTTTTAAAAAATATTATTCAATTAAATATGATCATTAAAATAAATGTTCCAAAATAAAATAGTCATTATTAGTAATTGTCTGACCTAGTATATTCGCTAATGATATCTTCGCGAAATAGTTTTAGCTATTATTGAATCGCGATAAAATTTTCCATGCCGGGCCGAAATTTTTTTAAAAAAAAATTCGGGTTCGGGTCGGCAAAACTTTTTTAAACAAATTTCGGGCCGGGCAGGGCTTAAAAAATTAGGCCCGATGCAGATCACTAGAATATACTATTTAAAATATTAAATAAAGGGAAACTTTGGCATTGATTCCATCGCCATCTTATTAAAAATGTTACAATCCTTTCATATCTTTGAAAATATAAAATCTTATCCATTTTTTAAAAATTTACATTGGTTAATTTAAAAATAATTCCTCTTTCAAATATGAATATTATATAGCTTGTATAGAATGGAATGATTAAAAATACATTTTAATATTTTGGAAGTTTCAGTGATGTAGCTATTGCTAGTAGCAGAAATGATTCTAAAATTGTGGTTAATGTAGTGACCCTCAGAGGGGGGATATAACTTAATAAAATACTACATAATTAATTATATATTATATAAATATAAACCTTTATATACAAATTTAAAGATAAAACATATTTTTAGAATTTTAAAGCTTTAAGACCATATCATATGTCAACTTATTACTAAATAGCCAACTATGTAGTATTGACTAAACAACCAACTATTTAGTATTGACTAAAAAGCCAACTATTTAGTATTGACTAAACAGCCAACTATTTAGTATTGACTAAACAGCCAACTATTTAGTATTGACTAAACAGCCAACTATTTAGTATTGACTAAGCAGCCAACTATTTAGTATTGACTAAACAGCCAACTATTAAGTATTGACTAAACAGCCAAAAAACAAGAGTATACACATAACAATGCCATCAAATACTTAAAACATACTAAAATGAAGGCCCTAGTTAGAGATTTGCAAATTGTCAGGCCAAATGAGTTTTGAGCAGGGCTTAAAAATAATTTGGTTCGTTACTATTATTTTAAAAAAAATTTGGGCTGGACAACCTTAAATTTTAAGATATTAAATTTTGTAAAACAAATTGATATATTTTGATTCTTCCAATCAGTAAATAAATCGGAAATGTTATATTATTTTCCATTATATAAATTAAATATTTTTTTTCAAAATGGTTTAACCCAGATCATTAAATTTATAAAAATTTACAGTCTAGCCTAGATTTTAAAAATAATATTTTTTGGCCCATTTTATACCATACTGGTGGAGTTCTTATAAACACACAAAATATTATTTTTGGCATTGGCTGATGTGTTAGTATTGCAAATGGTAATATTAGTGTTTCAAATATCAGCCAATTGAGGTATTGAATTTGCAAAAATCAAAGAATAGCGTGTAGAGATAAATTAATATCCAGTAAGAGAGTGCCTACTAAGAATTAATTTATTTTAAATAAAAAAAATCACAATGCATAAGGCAACCAATGATGGGTTAAAGAGAATAATTGCACAAGTTTATAGAAAACATTTAAGTGTACATTCTAACTAAGAAAATGTTTAAAACTTATGCCGATTAACAAATTTATTATTTCCCTGTTTATTATAAAACCAATTTATATTTACAATCTATATATTACAATATTTAGCCAATAAAATTTAGAACTACTAAATGTAAAAGAATATGTGCAAATATAAAATCAGCTATCGCTCTTTCAGGGGCTATGTTATGAAATTCTGCTTTATTTTGAGGATTTAATTGCATCCGTAAACAAACTAAATTGAAAATAATATACAATATATGAAGTATTATAAAGTACCTCCTAAAATAAATGAAGCAATAGTTGATATAAAACCAGCAAGGAAGGAGTTGAATGGAAAAGTGCCTACAATAGCACAATATACAAATTGAAATATTCCAACCATCATAACAGATACTAAATAGGAATCTATTAATTTAAGCTTTTTTGTGGTACTCTTAGTATATTCATCAAAGGCTTTAAACACAACTTGAGACATTTTTCTAATTTTTTACGAACACACGTTTTCTTAATATGTATATCCGCTAGGAGAAAATAAAAAATTTACTAATAAAATATAAACATTACAACTGAACCCCAAACAGGGAAAGTTGAGCAAATTTTCAAAAATTAATTTGAATATAAAGTGGGAATTAGAAAAAAAATTAATACATAAATTAACATTCCTAATATCACTTTGACCCCCATTCTCATGGCTCTGGATTTCTTCAAAGCACTCGCCCAAATATGTGCTTAATTTAGGTTGATCCTCAAGAATTATACTTATGCTAACCAATTTTAATGAAAATTTTAGGAGACATATTATATCAATCCATGATGCTATCACTCTTTCTTATTTTAAGATATATAAAAATAATTTTTGGATAGATTCTAATACCAGTTGAGCTCTTTTTAGCTCTCTCAATTTAAAAATCTCATAAATAATAAATGACAGGAAAAATTATATCTTCAGTTAAGATGTATGTAAAACTAATATTTTATATTAGTAATATATTAGTTTTGTATTATCAAACAAAAGAATGCCACTTGGATTAGCATTATTCTAATAGTACACAAAATATCAGTATTAATAAAATATTTAAGAGATAAAATTTAATTTCAAAATTAGATTATATTTCTATTAATCAGGGATCATATATATAATAAAATCAACGATTATATTTATAATTAAATTTGCTTAAATTAAGATAATATAATAGAGGGCTATAAAATAAAATAACGTCGTAGTTACTAACGGCATTACCATTTTTGAAGAAAAGGAACTCCATTCCTTACTTTATTCTAGAGGTAACTAGCAACGATAACGCGTTTCCCTTTTTAGTAATAATAAAGCAAAACGCTACTTAGTTTAAATTTTTTCTTAAAAAATATAGAAAAAACAAATTTTATTGTATTTTAAAATAATTTTTATTTATTTTTTTAATTTTATAAATAATTTAAGACGAGTTAGATCAACCAACAAATTATTAATTTTATTTTAAATTTTCGGCTTTAAATTTTCAGGCAAGATTATTAATCTAATTAATATTAAATAAATCAAGATATGTTCCGAAGAATATACATTTAACAAATCTTGTGTTAAATCCAAATTGCAAAGATTTTTAGAAAATGTTGTTCACATATATATTGTATGGTTAGTGTTATTTAAAAATTTCGATATATATATGATTTTATATATTATTGAACCTGTTGCTACGGCTCTTCCAATTTTAGAACACTTAAGATATCTCACTCCAACAATATTATAATTTTAATACTTAGAAAATTGCTATAAGTAAATACAAGTTTTGTAAACCACTTATTAATGCAATTCTGCAAGAAATAATAGTTAAAATTTTAAACAATTTAAACAATTTAAATTTTGATTATATTTTTTTCAATAGATTAAAACACATCTATAAAGATGAATATATACTAGTAGCAATAATTTACCCGCTATTTAAATTTGACATGGATGCAAATAAAAACAGACTTTAATTCCTTTAAATCACAACACACATATACCAGAATCTTTTTCTGATAAATATTACAAAAAAATCGATGATTCAAAATATGGATTATTCTTTAATTTTTAATCAATTCTCCCAATTAAAGTTTTTATTCATTAAATATAATACAACCTTCCCATCCTCTGCGCCAGTTGAAGGTGTATTTAGTACGATGAAAGATTATTCTATTTTTGTATAATTCTATTTATATTATATATGTGAATAAAAAATATTGTAAAAACATCTCATTTTATAATATATAATATTTTTATATTTTTTATAGAGAAATTCATTTTTCAAGTAACGAGTGACGCATTACTATCAAGGTTACGAGCAAAGTTAACGCATTCCTTTTTTTTTGAAACTAATAATGTGTTATCTTTTTTGATATAGCGTTTACTGCAATAATAATATATTATTAATAAATATGAACACATGATATTTAAATTTGCCTTTATTTTTATCACTTATCCTTAAATTTTCTTTCCCAAGCTCAAATTCGTATGGAAAAAAATAATATTACAAATGATAATTATGCTAGCGAAACGAATCATATGCTAAATGGAGACGTAAATGATATTAATGACGAATCTCTACTAGCCGAAGAATTTAAAAATAAAGCAAATTTATATTTTAAAAGTATTTTAATAAACCTATAAATGTGTATTAACTTATAATAAATTTAGGTGAGGATTATAAACATGCTATTGAATATTATGATAAAGCTATTGAGAAAAATCCAAATAATGCGGTTTATTTTGCTAACAGAAGCTTTGCCCACCTCAAAATGGAGAGCTATGGCTATGCATTAAATGATGCTACCAAGGCTATTGAATTAGATAATAAGTATCTAAAGGTATAAATGTTTGTTAAAGTTCTTTTTAAATATCCTAATATTAACTCTAATTTTATATTATAAATTGAATTATTATTTTTACAATAAAGGGTTACTATAGAAGAGCTGCTGCAAATATGGCTTTAGGGAAAATGAAAGTAGCACTAAAAGATTTTGAAACGGTAAAATTTATACACTGTATTGATATAAAGTTATAAGATATATTTATTTTATAGTTAATTTCAAAAAGTTGCATTTACCATAATGCTACATAATTTAATGTTTTTGTAAAGCTTCTATAACTATTGCATTTTTTTTAGATAATATAACACAAAGTTACTTATTAATTTTTGGTTTTTTTTTCAAATTATATAAAAATTATTTATTTAATCAATATTTTAAATTTGAAAAATAAAATGGTACCTTAATATTTTTTGCTTATTATTCAATATTATAGAAATTTATATTAATAGTATTTAAATGAATTTGATTAATGAAAATAAGAAACCTAGCAATGGGGAAAAAGATACAGATCTTTGGGCTTGACCCAGAAGAAGTTATTGAGGCATTTTCTACCAGAATTTTCCAGCCTTTCTATAAATTATGTTGAGGATTTTTTTAGGTATTTAATTAATGGGCATTGCAATGGTTTTGGAGATAAGGTCTACCACTTATTTTTTTTAGCCCACCTTCTAAGTCACAATCAATATAAATGGTTTAAAATAATTTCCACTGCCTAACTTCGAGTCTAAGAAAATAAATTTGAATGATGTTTGAGATTGAAGTAGTTCTACATCTTCATGCTCCTTCACTTGAAATTAATATTGCATAAATATCCAATTCTGAAAGTAATATTTGGAATAATGCAAATTTAGTATATTTGGCAGATCTGTTGCTTTGCCTTATTTGCAAATTTGGCTTAATGGATCAAACAACGCTAAAAATTGTTATTCTTCCATTTTTACTTTACAAATCGAATATTTACAATATTCGTATTTGATTCATATTTTCGAATCGAATAACTCTATTATTCGTGTTCGCAAAATCGAATAATATTCGTACTAATAATTAAACATTCGATTCGATTTGTCGAATATTCAATTAGAAAATTTAAATTTTTTTTAAAAAATATTTTCGAAAATGAAAAAAAAAACAAAAAAAATGGATTATTTATAATTTTAAAGCGATTTTTATAAAATGTGGGGAAAAAACGTATACAAAATAAAAATTTTCGCAAGGAACATGTTAAATAATTAAGAATAATTTCAAATATTTATTATAATAATTTTGAATGTTTTTTGTTTGAATAATTTCTAATATTGACGAATATTTCCTAAAATATCGAATATCTATTTTGAATGATTCGATCCGATAATAGATATAAAAAATGATTCATCAGATAATATATTTTCCCTATTCTACTTCTTAACAGAATCGAACAAAATTGATTTAAAATATCAAACAATTCTTTTTAGGTATTCTTTTGAAGGTTTATTCTTATTAAATGTTCTAAAAACTTGACTTTGATAATATTGCTTAAATATTTTTTTAAAATATAGAAAATAAAAATTGTAATTTCTTAACATATTCTTTAGGTAGTAATTTAAAACAAAATTATTCGCTTGTAGTAGTGGTTGCTAAACGGCTCGTTTTGAACCGATTGCCTGACCCTCGAGATTTCGATAACATATGGTTTGACCTTTGTTCCTTCTATGAAGAAAATCTTCAGGCTTGCGTAATATTTTTCTCGATGAAATATTGAGTTAGCCGTTTTTAAAAATCGGCTCAAAACAAGCCGTTTAACAGCACTACACTGTATCAGACTTCCACTAGGCAGGTTCATTATTTTCACTGTTAACGTTTGGAAACATCTATTATCTTTATAAAAATACTATTATCTACGCTTTTTCTCATGTCAACGATTACTCCACTAAATAAATCTGTAGTTCTTTACGCATTTTTTTTTACTATCTACCTTTCAAAAAGATGAATTCACGTTATTTTCCTAATTTAATTTTAAAAATGAAAAATATAAACCTAATTAATATACAATTAAGACAATTTTTATATAACCTTTTATTGTCGTTAAGACTTCAAATTTTTAGATGAGAAAAACGGTTCTATTTTTTATATAAAATAAAATAGTAAATTGACAACAGGTGTTCTACCATCCGCATAATTGTAAGTAAAATCAATAAAATATTGAATTAAGAAAAAAATATTTTATAAATTTTGAGTTGATACATGAAAATTGAAATCAAAATTACAAAACTACTTTTTGCTAAAACCAAATTTATTTTTTCTATGCCTTTTTATAATATACCTTCATTATTAATCTGATAGAAATGTATAGGGTGCAACCATATTGTATCGGTAATAAGATTACGATTTTTAGGATAATTTTTGACTATTCGATCAATAGGTACTATAAAATACCCCAACTTGATAGACGTGAAGGGAATCATTAGACCTCTCATATGAGAAAATTCCTCAAGATGCTTACTCTATAACTACTAATTCTGTAGCTATATTTCAATTTCTACGCATATATTGTCTAGTAACGTCATATCGGAAAGTTTTTTTTAAAATTATTATTCCTGAGGTCTTTATTTGTAAGGAAAGATGACCAAATGTAGGGAAATTATAGAGGGTGTCATTCTCAACCATTTTTCAGACTATGAATTTAAGTTTTTCAAGTTAATCATATCAATAGAAAGTAATTCTACTATTTAAAAAAAAATTGACTATATTAGTTATATATATCTAAATTCTTAATTATTTAAAAATGGTTGTGACAGGTAATATTTTGGGGTCAAAAGAGTTGTATTGAATGGTGAGCTCTATAGCATTATTGTATTGGATTTATCTATAACACCATCTTCTTTGGTTTTTTTTTGCTAGCTCAAAGAATTATTAATACCAATAATCCAAGCATCCATCCCTTTGTATGATTCTTTTTTAAAAAAAGACGCATGCGTGAATGCTCAATTTTCTTTTAATTTATTCTTCGCTTGTACTTACCTATACACACTTTTCAACGATAATCTATATCTATTATTTCTTATTGGCCACATTTTTGAAACTATTTTATTTTGCGCTTATGATTCAATCCCTATTATATTTTTTTAAAATATCTTTTAAATTTATGAAAATTTTCACTTAGTTTAATATTTAATTTACTAATAAAAACACGAAATAATGTATATTATATTATTTATTTATTTTTACAACGGATAGTGTTGTTAGACGGCTCGTGAACCGATTTTTAAAAATGACTAACTAAATATTATACCCAGAAAATGCTACGCAAGGCTGAAAATTTTACTCATAGATGGCACAAAGGTTTGGACATCTATTAGCGAAATCTCGTAGCTTTGGGAATATTTTACCAGCTAAAATATTGATTTAAATAACAACAACAATGAATGACCGAAAAATATTAAGAAAGATACCCAACAAACTGTCACCACTTTTAGAAAAACAGAGCCGGGTTTGATAATGGGAAAAAATCCAGACTGGGCCTTCTAATCTCGGCAGGTCTTTAAAATTTATAAAGGATCCTTCTCTGAATATAAGATATAAAATTACCTTTTTTTTTATTTAAAAAAAAGTAATTATCAAAAAAATATATATCGTTTCTTTAATACAAACAACTGGTAATATTTTTAAAAAGAGAAAAGAAATTCAGTCTGCCCCCGTTTTATATTATATATTTACTTTAGACCCTTTTATTGGGATTTTATCATTACACTAGATCCTTCCTCGTTTGTGCGTTTAGGTTAACATAAATAAACTTGTTTATGCTTGTGATTAGGAATTAAGATATCAATTTTTTTTTAATTTAATAAACTTTCATCATGTCGACTACAATTTTTTTTCCACTAAATATATTTCTTTGTTGTTGCGATTTTAGTTATGCTACGGCAATAAAGATCTAATATAAATCCGTTACATTTCCCTGCTAACTTAACTCATTTTTTCTTTTTATGTTAACGTTTAAACCGTTTTACTCAACCATCCCGTTTCGGGATTTTAGGCTAAAATGCCGCGTAATATATTTTTAAAAAATTAGTCACTTATTAGATGTTTGCGAAAGCGCGAAGAATTCTTAAATATGGATATGGCCACTCTCTAGGCATTTCGCTTTGAATGATAATAGTCAAGTCAATTTCTTTGCCAAAAAAAATAAATATTGTCGGGCTGTAAATTCAAATTCAAAGATTTATCTCCCTCATTAGATGTGAATCCAACGATAAACATGATCAAATAAAACAGACTTAATTATTCACCTAAACATGTTTTATTTACCCCCACCACTTATGATTATGCAAATTTGTTTTTAAAAGACAAAATTATAATGATCCAGTGGCGTAGCTACGGGGGTGGTTTTCGGGTTTGGACCCCTCCCAGAGTAAAAATTTTTTTTAGATTATACGTTCAAAAGACTTAAAAGTGATTTTATATGAATTATATTTTTCTGGTTTTGATGTTTGTGGAAGGATATTATATTACTATTGAAATTATTCTGGATAGTATTATTATAAAGTCATTGAGAATAATCTACTAAATTATAATAACATTTTATTGATGCATTTAAAAAATATATTTATTATATATTATCGACGATATGATTATAATTTATAAGATAAACCCGGCCGAAGGCCGGACAAAAGGGCCGAAGACCCGATAAAGGGGGTCTGGGGGCGAAGCCCCCAGCTTTTATATGTATGGACCCCCTCTAAGGAAAATTCCTAGCTACGCCACTGTAATGATCACTCGATCCCTTTAAACGCGAAGGTTTTTTTTTCAATGGTGGGATCGAAAAGAAGCGCTGTTTTAAATCACCTTATTGAATTAGTGGTTTACAGATGCTATATAAGTTCCCCGAATTCGCGTTCTCTTTTAAAGTCGGCTTAAATATAGCGTTTCTCCGCCGTAAACGTTATATTAAAATAATAGCATCGCGCATATGTAATATGCGTTTTCGAAACGATAATATTTTTAGCTCTAAATTTTGAAATGCCGTAAAAAAAAATTAATTTATTAAAAAAGGTAACCAAAGTATGCCCTAACGACAAAGACGCCAAACTTAAATACAACGCCTGCAATAAAATCGTCAAAGCCCTGGCATTTCAAAAAGCCATTTTTGTAGACGTCCCCAAAAAATCTATCGTGGATTCCGTCAACCTTTCTAACATTGGTTATAACTTATATATATTTCTTTTAAATACATTGGGAAGGGGGGGGGGGAGTAGCATCTTGATATAATCGGTATTTTCATGAATTAGCATTAGGTAATATTTAGCAATTTTTTTAAAAAAAATAGCTCTGCATTAGTGCTCTTAAGCGGGTGGATTTTTTTAAAAATGGCTAGCCCATCATTTTAGCCAGAAAAATATAACGCAAGTCTGTATTTTTTGCTCATAGGGTTGGGCATCCCTATTAACGAAATCCCGAGGCTTGCTTCATATTATTTTGGCTATCAAACCTTTTAACCTTTCATATACGGTTAGCGCTAATTCGCGGTGAAGTATACAAAATATGATATAAATTACCTGCCTCGAATTCGCGCTAATTGTGAACCTCAGGGTTACAGTACTGCTCTCATAGATAGGGTATTAGATTGATTAAAGTCATAATTGATTTACATTTTTATATTAAAATTTCTTTCCAGAAAAAAAGATTCGAAATGTAGGGGGGGGGGGGTGATTATAGATAAAATATGGGATATTTTTTTTACCACCGTTCCATTCCAGCCCTAATGGATAATATAAAACCGATATCCGGCTCGGCCGAGTTGGTCGAATCGGGTATACAAGAAGAAGGAAACAAAAAGATTATTTATTTCGAAAAATAAAAACAAATACAGAAGTTGAGAAAGATTACAAGGGGCCGACCTTAAAAGAAGAAGACGATTACCAAATATCCCTCCAATTCGTAAACGAAATGATACAGTGTTTCAAGGATCAAAAAAAAATTCACAAAAAATTTGCCCTAAAAGTTTTTCCTTTAGTTATAATGAACCAAGGAATATTGATAAACATTAAAAATGTGTACTTTTGACAAATCGATGCTCATTTTAAAAGAAAACGATGATTAAAATCGAACCCCATTTTTTGATTGAACTTTGATTGGCATTAAAAATACTCCTTTTTAATGAACCCTAGACTTCGAGCCGACTTGGGCGCGCTCTAAGCTCTAGAACTAGTGTTGTTGAACGGATCGATTTTATCCAATTTTTAAAAACGGCGAATTCAATATTCTAGCCAGAAAAATATTAACGAATCCTCGAAATTTCGCTAATAGTTGTCCAAACCTTTGTATCATCTATGGTAAAAATCTTCAGGTTTGCGTAATATTTTTCTGGGTAAAATTTTGAGATAACCGTTTAACTAAAACATTTAAACAAAATTTAAATCACAGGTATTTTAATTAATGAATTTCTATATTTACTCTTCATATTATCAAAGTATAATCAAAATGGCGTTCTAATTTTTTTCCCCGTTTCTAATCTAATATCAATAATATTTCGCGTCATGTCCACGGGGGGGGGGGGCAATAATCTTTTTCTTGTTGGAAAATAATTTGCTATAAATTAGGTTTCAAAAATGAACTAACACTTTTTTGAATTTCATTAAAAAATAGTATTTTTTGAAATAGTATTTTATTTGATTTAAAAAACAAATATTTGTTTTTGGAGTTATAAAATAAAAAAATTTTTTAAAAAAAATAAAAAGACCGACTCCCAAAAAGATATTTTGTTTTTGGTTTATATCAATTGCTAGTAATTCATTTTGTTTTTCTCAGTGACATTATAGAATCTAAGCAAAAGATCAATACATTTAAATAACATATTAAATGACATAATTTCAGGTTTTACTTGTTTTATATTCACCATTTTTATATCTTCCATGCCGAAAAAGAAAGGAAGGAAGAAAAGAAAGAAAGAGTGACGAAGAGAAGAAAGAAATTTACTTTATTTATTTGCAAATTTTTATGTTTTTTTTTGAAATAAAAATTAATTCGATTGTATTTAACAGATACTTTTAGATGTCAGAGAAATTTTTGCGAAAGAATCAACATTGGTCGACGTTAACATCAATAAAGTAAATTTTTTAAAAAAACGTATATTTTATTATTTGATTATGTACTCCCAATTAGTGTTGTTAAACGGCTCGATTTGAGTCGATTTTAAAAAACGGCTAACTCATTATTTTAGCCAGAAAAATATTAAGTAAGACTGAAGATTTTTCTCAGATATCACAGTGGTTTATATACATCTATTAGCGAAGTCTCGAGACTTAGGCAATATTTTTTCTGACTAAAATATTGAGTTAGCCCTTTGACAACACTAATCCCAAGAACCAAAAATAACGCGGAACTTTCATTTTGTCTCCTCTACCAATCTTTGCACGCCAATTTTTTGTGTGTAGTTTTATAATTTTTAATATGGTTAATTTAAGGTTTTTTAGTTTTCAAAATGCAGTTTATGAGCAAATATTTTTTTACGTTAGTCATTGGTTTAAATGGTCATGACTAATGTCAATCAGAGTGAAGGTGAGGTTATCCTACTTTTAAATATCTGCAAAACGTAGTAACCTATAGTTTTATTTTCACGAATTATTTTTGAATTTTAATTTTTTAATTCCCTTATTCGCAATTTCAAGGGAAAAGGATGGATAATTCAGCAATAGCCAAAAAATACTCCATTTAAGCAGAGAAAGATCAGAGACAATATTAATAAGCTAATTGATCCCATTAAATCTGCTCTTACTTGCCTCAAAAGGCATCAAAATCTGACAACATTCAAATTATCTGAAAAAATTTTGGATCAATTGTACATTTGATTTAAAAATTAAGAAAAACAAAAAAAGAGACTTTACCTATCCCTACCCGTAAGTGCAACAGAATGATCCATTCTATAGGTTATATTATAAAGGGTTTTTTATTTTTATACCGTAACTGTACTTTTTAGTTTAATGATAGGCTAAGAAAAAAAATTTCCATTGACAGTTAACCGAAAGAAGAAACGACAGTATTTCTCAAATAAATGTATGAACCTTTACCAAATTTGTCCAAAGTTGTTTTTTGGCTACGGATCTCAGTTTGTATTGTTAAGTGAGAGAATTCACAATAATATGGTACGCAAAGCAAATAAAACATTCCACCCTAATAAATTTAAGAATGTTTTGGGAAAAGGAAGTATCTAAGCATTTAAAGGAATTGTTCAAGACACAATGACTGACAGCTCAGGCTTCACTTCGGTATTAGAGCTAAAGGAGAAGTTTCTAAATTTTGATCCATATTAGTAAGTCAATCAAAATGATAATTTTGTTTATGATATAAGCTATAGTTGGGTGATGGCTAAATGTCGACTAATTCGGCTCAATCTTAAGGCGCTTTCCAGATAAAATCCGTTAACATTAAGGCGTTTTGATTTAAATTAGTTTCTTCCAAATTTTGAGCTGCTATCTTTTTAAGGAAAATCTCGAGGCCCACGTGATGAGTTTTTAGCCGCTAAAAATTGGCTTAAACAGTTAAAAATATAGCTATAATTTTTGATATATTCAACTTTTTTAAAAAAGAACATATTCTTTCTTTACAAAGTATTTATTATTTTTAAACTTGGGTATTATATAATGGAAAAAGAAAGTTTAGTGAAATATAGAATAAGAGAAAGAGTTATTGCAAGAGGAGAGATCCAGGCGGGTTATATTTTTTTCGATTCCATTATTTTGAAAAGGCAGATAATGAGAGGTTAACAAGATCTAGCAACGAGTGAATTCGCGACATTTATATTATTCCATTAGAATCTAGGAAAGCTCAGGATCAGAAAACTCTCTTTAAATCATGGATCCATGCTTAAGACTCGGATTGGCGAATTTTTGTATCTTAAATCCTTGTTTTTAAATATATTTATCAGGGTACCATTCGCACGGCCCGCCCCGTATTTTTTTGAAATATATTTAATTTATTTTTTTAATTTTTATACACAAATGGCGATTTAATTCTTAGGTCCAGTTCGGGTATATTTTGAAAAAATAAAATAAAATACGGCCCAGCAGGTGTACCGAGCATGGCCTGCAGGACTCCGATATTTATAGCCATATTAGATCAAGTTAAAAAAATAATATTTGTCTATATTTTAAATTTTTATAATAAATAAAATAAAAAAGGATCAAAAATTAACGATATGCGGAGATATACACGGTCAATTTTTTGACATGCTTCACATTTTCGACATGAACGGTATGCCTTCCCCTCAAAATTTATACGTAAATAATATTATTTATTCTAATATCTATATATATATTATATAAATAGTAAAAAAAAAATAAAGTGTACTATTTAGCAGTAGTTTTATATTATTTATTTTGTTTACGATAGGAATATGAGAGTGGAAGAATTTCTAATCTTGCCAGATTTTTTTGTGATACAGAATCCTATTTTTTTTCTCGCGACAGCGCTTTTGACTGATAGTCTTATCTTAGCTTGTTTGTAATAATTCTGTTAACGCGAACATATTTATATATGATAATGTGGCATATAGATCAATGACATATAATAATACTTAGACTGACGATGCATTCATAATAATGGATTTGAAAGCGTCGTTAAATGCAAATCAGCTGGACTCGCCATTTTGTTAACCCATATAATAATTATTCTCATGTTAAAAACTAGTATTAAATTGATAACTTACTTCCTTATTATCTCGACAATCAGGCAATTCTTTAATAAAGTTTGCGTCAGACATAGGAATAGATTGGCCTCTCATTTAAAATTTTAAATAATGATACGGGTAATCAAAATGGCGTCTCCAGCTGTTTTCAATGATATACACTTTTATTGAATGCATCGTCAGCCTAGGTATTATTATATGTCATTGATATAGACACGAACTCATAAATTCTTTACTTAGAGATGTATCAAAATTTACCTCAAAATCTGTAGAATATTGCTCCCTGATAATTGTTTAGAATAAAAGGGCTCATTTACATAGTAAACGATCTTTGTTCAAGCGTTGCGTTATTTAATGCAGCGTTATTACAAAATAAAGCCAATAGATAGGTATATTTTTTAAAAAAAATTACCAAACTAACTTATTAATTTGGCTTCATTCCTTAAGGCTGAGTCACATCAAAAAAATGTAATTCAAACTTTCAAATCTAAAAACACGATATTAAGCCTTTTTTTTAATAGCAAAAATAAAAATATGGCCAAAAACATATTTGTGAAATGGTCAAAGACTATATACCTTTAGGCTTCCTTAAGGTTTTAAAACTTTCGAATCAAGTTAGGACGTAATCTACGCTAAAACCTCGAGGATGAGGTGATAGATTTCGTCTAAAAATGACTAGATATCAGTCTCTTTAGGCTTTACAGCTTAAAAAAATCCAATTTAGCAATAACACTTGATCTGTCCACGGGGAAAACAAAATATTTATCAATCTTTTTAATTAAAAATACTTTTTTGAAAAAATATTGAATCAAAAAAAATTAAAAGTTATTCAATGGCGATTTCGTGGATAGGGGTTCGTTCTCCGTTGAAGTCATGTTAACGCTTCTCGCCTTCAAAGCATTATACCCCAATTCGTTTTACCTTACAAGAGGTTTTTTTTAAATTATATTATATTTTATTAATATCAAAGAACCTCATCGGTCCAGTTCTAACTATCTTAGACCGGTTCGGACGGGTTTTTTGAGGACTCCGGTCCCGGCTGATCTTTTGTGCTTGCCTTATTATTCCAATTCATATAATTTTTTTTTAGTAAATTTTTGTGTATATTTTATATTATTATTTAATTTTCCAGAGTAGTTTTGTGATTCTTTTTTCTTTTTTTTTTCTTTCTTTTAGTTTATTTTTTGCAATAATACTATGAAAACGAAAAGTTTGTCAAAGTAATATGTTATCACCTTTTTTTGTATTATTTAATGTCAAAATTTGATTCGATATTCTTAACATAAAATACTTTTATTTGAAATAAAAACACAAAACTGGGACGTTTCAATTTGTAAACAGCTATTATATTTAGCACTTTTTATTCATTTTTTTAAAAAAATATTAATCTCTAAATTTTATTTATAACCTGTAAAAAAAACAAAATTTATATCTCGCGAAAAAAAACTTCTAAATAAATATAAATATATGTATTTTCTTATAATATCTTAATTTTAGCCTCTCAAACTGCAATCTTTTTTAACTTGTTTAATTAAAGTAACGAATCCAACTAATGATGAAACAGGAATTTTTTGAAAACTAAATATTTTGATAAAAATTAATGACCAATAATCGTGATTGCATTGAAGTTTTGGGATTTGATTAAAAGTAATAATCCGATGATGATCACTAAAAATAAAGATTATGAAATTTAGTGATTTTAATTCTTAAATTTTAACAACAAATGCAACATTACTTCTTCATAAGTCTATATATCACTTTATGACCACATAAAATATAACTTCGATAATTCCGACTTCCCTCTACATGTCCGATTTCCTATTTAAGACGCAAAATAATGATTTTGATCTCCATCGGCATTGCAGCAAGTTATCAAAAAAAATAATGAAGGTGACTTAAAAGGCAGTTTACTTCCACTGATAGCAAATTAGGATTGCTCATTTTTAGAAACATGTTCTTCTATTCAGCACAAAATGTTGGATTCCGATGAAGGCATCCAACAGAGGGCCCACTCGAAACCTCTTTTATTTGCCCTGGCATTCATGACTCACCCATGATTTTAAATCCAAATTCGATTTTGGATTTAATAAATAATTAGCACCTCGACGTTGGAAGAATCTCTTGTCCTCTTCCCTAAAGCAATTGAAGTTTTCAATTTCCCCGAACCCAATTTTAAAAAACCTTATCCTATATAGAAAAAATACAGGAATTTGTTTTCTAGATAAAAAAATAAAATGATTCTATCTGACAACAAAACTGTCTGTAGGCTGATTCCATCCGATTTGTAAGATTCATTTTTCTCATATCCGCCGCTATCACCTTTATTCACATCATCTTAGGCTTTCCTCGAAGTTCTGATCCTCCTACTTCCATCAAGGTACATGACACAGTCATCTTTTGTCAAGCCATCTTAGCCTATTTCTTCTCATTACCACTCCAATCACTTCTATTCCCCATTCTTGCTCGCAATTCCTTACTATTTAGTCAAAATATTTGAAAAAATATTCAGCTTTGACCCCCTAAAAATTCTCCCATCACATCAGAACCTTCACATAATTCGCAAATGCTTATATGTTTTATAAAATATGGCATCTCTTATGCGCATCTTCTCTTTTTTTTACTTAAAGATTGGGTCGATTTAATTGGAGAATTGGGAGTCCAAAAATAGAGGCAAGTGGTTACATCAAAATATTCACAGAAATATCTTTTAGCGGGTAATATACACTCCCCGTATAATGACTTTAGACATAATGTTAATATACATAATTAAGTAATTTTGTCAATTTTCATATTTGGCAAGCAATCCAATGTGAATCGTGGTAGTATAAAATCTTCATGATATTTTGTTAATTCATTCTTTCGCACACTTGAATTTTCATTTTAATCAATTTTATTTATGTAATATCACAATTTCGACACTAGCTAAATGTCGCTCTTTCTTCGCAAAAATACATATTTTTGCGAGGTAAAATTCAAATATAAATTAAAGGATAAATTTATAATTTCTCCTAAAGGAATTCCAAAAATATATATTCTTGCAAAAAAAATATAATAAACATGTACGTAGGTAACCACGAGACTGCTACAATGAATCAAATGTACGGGTTCGAAGGGGAAGTCAAAAGCAAATATAGTCAAACCATTTACACGTATTTTGCCGAAATATTTTGCCTCCTACCTTTAGCCTATTTAATACAGGGCAAAGTTTTGGTAAATATTGTTCCTTTTTTTTTAAATATATTTTTGTTACTTGATTTTTAATATTATAAGGGTTATAACTCAGTTTGTTTGATTCAGTTTTTTTTCTTAAACTCGCGAAATTTTTTAGAAACACCATGGCCATCTGTTAACATTATAAGAAGAGATTTTGGGTAACCAATTTGTTTCTTTTTGATTGGTTAATCAAATATGTTCCCTTGTTTGGCTCTATCCCTATTCTTCTTCTCCGTTAAATGACGATTTCCAGGTTTACCTAAGTTGGCCAGTTTTCCCCCTGATTTAATCATTAGGAAATTTTTTAGCAGGGTTTTTACAATCTGGGGCATTTCCTGACATCTACCCATTTAAGTGGTTTTTACACCCCGTTGAGGAGACGGTAATCTTATTCTAGACCCAGACCTCAGGGAATTTTTTAGACCTCCATTAGCCGCCAAAAGACGAACGATAATTTACAATCAGTGAAATTAATTGTTTGATACGAGGTGTAGCGACCCATATAGGAAATAAGGTTATAAATGAGCCTTATCTCAATTTCTAACTAATGCGGCTACCCTATTTTATGGTTGCAAAACCGTGATTCTTTCTAGAATTTCGTCAAAACTTTAACACCAGTTTTTTATAATATTTTTTATTTTTTAAAAATGGCCTAAAGTTAGGGTATTTTTAAACTTTGGCTCATCAAATTTCATCAGAAGATGATATAAAATATATTTAAACAAATCTTATATAGCTTTATTTTATAATTATTCGTGTCAAAAAAAAATTTAAGGTGTTTATATTTATTCAATAATTAAGAAAAGAAAATAATAAATGCGCATATTTTATATATTTGTGTGAACCCGAATTAGGGTTTTGAAATGAGATCACACACTGAACAGGTACCGATTTATAGAAATCCCATGAACTCGGGGTAATTTGACCTGGGGCGGGTTTAGACCCCTTTCAGAAAATCGGTTACGTTTATGATTAATAACAATCTATACAAGAATAATGATGAAAACTAAGTTTAAAAAATTTACCAAAGTTACTAATAATTTAAGTCATACAGAAAAGAAAGAAAGTTAATTATTGTGCAATAATTTTTGTCATCGTTATTAGGTAATGCACGGTGGTATATTCAGTCAAGACGACGTGACTCTAGATGATATTCGCAAAATTGACAGAAATAGAGAACCTCCAGAAAGTGGTCAGAATTTTTTTTATACAATTAAAGATTATTTAAAGTATTTAAGCAGAAATTCTTCTCTCAAAATAAGTTGGCTAATTAATGCCATAACATTGGCAGTCGTATCAATATAAAAAATTTAAGAATATAATTTGTCCAGCTTCTGCCTGAATTTATAATTCTTTGAAAATAAATTTGAACGAGCCGTAGTCAAAGAGGTGTCCATGCAGAACTTTTAGATTATGTATTTACCATTTGTACTACCTTTTCACTCACGGGGAAACTAATATTTATAAATGTTAAAATGATAAGTGGCTCCCCTATCTTCTATGACCTTTTCAAATTTAAAACCTAACATCGCCCCAAGAGGTTTGTTTCAGAATTTAAAAAATAAAACATTGGCGTCCTCTAGGTGATTAAAACAAAAGAATTTGTTTTTTTAAAAAAAAAATAATAATATTTGAAATAGGCTATCAAATTTATCGTTATTTACCAATATTTAAATTATTTCAAATGAAAAAGGATTAATGTGCGAATTGCTATGGTCAGATCCGCAATTCCCAAATGGCAGAGCTCCAAGCAAGAGAGGAGTCGGAATTGCTTTTGGACCCGATGTTACCCACAAGTTTTTTTAAAAAAAAGAACATACTTATACACATTACATAATGTTCGGGTTGAGGCTTAGCTCGTTCTTATATTTTGTTTTTAATTATGAATACAGAATTCTATTTAGAAAAGGCAGCTGGAACAACTTTTTTGAGGTTTTTAAAAAAATACATTTTAGATTTTGACTTACGCTGAATTTATAGTAAACCCGTTTTGTTCAAGCAATGCTCTATTTAACGTTATCGAATTCACAGCTGATTCTTCACTGTGATGATTTTTTTGAAATATACGTCGCAACGCAACATAGATATTTTCAAATTTTTTCGTAGCGTTTTCATCGTTTCACTCCATATTTATAAATTATACCGATTTATTGGCTTAATTTTGTAAATAGCGGCATTAAATACCGCACAGATTGAACAAAACGCATTTACTGTAAATTCGCAAGGTAATAATTTATTAATTTATTAAGACAGTTATATCGAATTATAAAAAAGAAAAAAAAAGACGAGAAACCAATACCTAGATTGGCGATTTATTTATTTAAATGTGTATTAATAATGGCTGGTAACACGCCATTGTTTCCCCATATAAATAATTTTCATTAAAATTTTATGCAATTTTTTTTATATGTCGGCATGTTACCTGCTGATTTGTATTTAAACAACACTAAAATACATTCCAATAAATGAATCATACGTTTTCGGTAATTATTATATGTCTTTGATTTTAGACCCAGCACCCCCCCCCCCTTTTCAATCAATAAGACATGCGTTATCTATTTTTTGTGATGTTTTAATCATGAATTTTAAAAAAATCAAATAATCTAATTTGTTAACAGATTTTTGGAGAAAAATGGCTTGGACTACATAATACGAAGTCACGAGGTTAAGGATAATGGCTACGAAGTTGCTCACGATGGTAAATGCGTCACCGTTTTTTCCGCTCCTAATTATTGGTATTGTAAAAAAAAAATTTAAAAAAATGGTCTATTCACAATCACAGTGCATATAACTTTATAAATATTTTTTTTTGAATCTATAAATTTCGACAAATTTGGCCCAATTCACTGGCGCTAGTCGGAGATAATTTGCTGAGCATTGAGGCGTAATTTAATTGATTGTATTCTTCAAGTTGGGTTATATTTTTCTGAAACAAAAGATAAGGGCTGAGTTGATAGTGGGTAAAAACTGAGTTTATTCGGCTAAAATATGCCACACACCATTTTTGGCTTTCTTTTATTAAAAATATAGTTTTATGTTCAGAAATGGATACCCTTCAATGGATGATAATAAATAGATTAAAAAATGCATATTCATTTCTTTAATTAAATTATTATAATTTTGACAACAGTGATTCTACAGGCAATAAAGGGGCATATATTACGTTAACGGCTGACAATTTGACTCCAAAATTTACAACTTTTGAAGCAGTGGTAATTATTATAATATTTTTATTTTTTTTTAAAAAAAAATACTGTCATAAAAGAAATTTAATTAATGGGTATATAATTTTTAAAATATGTATGTTTCCATTTTATATTTAGCCTCACCCAAATGTGAAAGCGATGGCCTACGCAAATTCATTGATGGGATTTTTATGATCTATGCATTAAAATTTCTCATCCACTGACTTATTAATATTATATATTATCATTAATATATAATATTTGATTGTTGTAAATATGTTTGTTCCTAGCATAAATATATTGTAAAATATGAATATATTACTTTTATATATATATCAGATCCGAATATACGATAGCAAATATTATTTTATTTTTTTAAATTACAATTTGAATTTTAAATATAATCAGGAGATGTTTAAATAAAAAACATAACATATGGCGCCCATATTCCTAAAAAAAATTATTTTAGCGCCTAAAAATGTGGCGGAAAGAATCCATAAATATTTTTTTTAAATATATCATTAATGTGTGCCAGAGATTAGTGAAGGTCACCACCCGACAGATGCACTCGGACCGGAACGCGGTTCTAAATAAACAAATCAGCACAGGGCCGGTCTTTTTATTGTTTTGTTATTACAAAAATATTTTGGTTTTTACTTAATTTTATTCCTGTTTTTTGGGACTATAAGTAAAATGCTTCTTTTACAAACTTATGGTTTTCATTAGAGATCTTCAAATCACGGCCCGGGCCCAGTCTATTTTAAAAAAATTATTTCGGGTTGTGCTAGTTATTTTTTTAAAATATTATAATACATTTTGTCAAATAAATTGATATATTTTAAAATTTTTGCAAGAAACAAGGCGCTAAAATTTTTATTTGTAGAATAATTTTTTTTACAATCAAAAAAAATATATTAAATTTTTCAGGTCACTAGCTTTCTTATTGCAAAAATAAAAATGAACTTAAAATTCGCAAATATTAAAATAACTCCTCTAAAAAAATAAAATAAAATATACAAAAAAATGTAAAATATATTAATTGAATAGCAGAGTTGTTAACGCTCCTTTTTAAAAGTAGCGAGCTCCCGCTCCCGCTCTTACCTTCTCAAAAGGAGCGAGCTCCCGCTACTACATATTAAAAGGAGCGCTACCGCTCCAACTAATGGAGTTCCGCTCCATAACCGCTCCTTTGATTTTCATTTTTTTAGAAGGTACACGAAACAAAATCATATTTTTTTATCAAAACGTTTTATTTATATTATATGATATATCAAAATATTTATAAACTTTTATTAGCTTTTAAAAGTAATTTCTAAATTAGAATCTAACAAACACCCACGCCTCTCCCTAAGACCTGTTTTGCAATACTAAATAGGCGCTCCACAGGAGCACTTAAAGGAAACGGGGTATTGTATTTTATATAAATATTTTTTAATTCAGGGAATTGTTCAAAAATAGTAATTTTGCTATCATTATTTAAAAAATATCTATCCAATATATTATCTTCATGGTGATCAATTTCATGGAATCCAAAGAAATCTTCCAAATCATTGCAAGGTTCCCGTGAACTAGTAGTAGCTATTTTTCCGTCGGGTATTTGTTTCCTTAAAAAATAATTAATCTGCCTTTTAGTTCCATATTCGGGTATTTGTTTCCTTAAAAAATTAATTAATCTGCCTTTTAGTTCCATATTTTTTGGATTTTTTATCCATTCCCAATTCAATTTGAATGCAGGATGGACAATCGCTGCAATGATATTATCATCATTATAAATATTAGAAAATCTGCAATAAAGTTATTTAAATAGATATAATTTATTTTTTATTATAAACCTTTTATTAATACCGCTTATAAGAGACTTTACAAGAGGTTGGCAAAACTCTAAATCTGCTAATTCGTTTAATTTTGAAATAAGTTTAGAAATGGTTGGACTTAGGAAACCCATGTCCATATGAAGATCCCCTTCAAGGATTTTTAGAGCTTTTTTTATAGGCTCCATAACCTAAAATTTATTTATTTCACTATGATAACGATTATATTAATATTTACTTGACTATACTCTTTAATAAATTTACGTTCTTGGGAGTTAAAACGTATAAGCCCATGGTTATCACACAACTCATCAAGGTCCTTTTGTTTTTCATCTAATATTTTATCTAGCAAATAGACTCATAATACGAATTCCACCTAGTGAAATTTAGGCATATTAGATACCTACCCAACTTTCTGATAATATCGTCCGCCATATTTGTAGACATATTTTGTTTATTCCACAAAGATTGACACTTTTGGAATAAACTTTGAGATACTATTTGAAAGCTTCTATCACCTAAAGCTTTCTCTGCGTCAACTGTTGACAACAAATTGAGATTGTGGCAAGCACATCGTGAATGTTGAGGGAGATATTCAAAGCTTTCTGCCCTATTATTTATGATATGATTTTACTTTTAAATGTTTTTTTAAATTAAAGCTTGAGATTTTAGAGAAAGATATCCTTTTGTTGTTAATACATAATATAGGCATTTCGCCTTTAAGTTGACTTTATCATCTATAAGCTTGAAATATTTTTTATATGGTGGAAATGGAAATTCGGTTTCTTCTTCTATGATCTCTAAATCCATAATATCTAAAACTATTTTTTATTATATATCTATAAAATGAATATTAATATGACTTACAAGATTTTTCAAAAAATTTTCAATATAAAAAGGAAAAACTGATGTTTAAAATGATTAGATGAAAAATCAATATAAAACTCGGCTCAACATTTTATAATGAATAAATTTAAATAAAATAAAATTTTATTTTCATTAAATTTTAATTAACAAATATTATTAATATTTATAAAAAAATATAATTTATATATTAAATTTAAAGGAGCGGCGCTCTTCCGCTCCAACCTTAAAAGGAGCTACTCCCGCTCCTCCCCGCTCCAGCTGTTTTTGGAGCTCCGCTCGTTAACAACTCTGTTGAATAGTAAAGCAAACTTAAAATATTAATAAAAAACCGAGATCACGGTCTGGACCGTAAAAAATAAACCTCTCAGACTGAGGTCCTCAAAAAAGATCGATTCTGTCTAAGACCGACAAAACCGGGCCATTGTCCTTCACTACCAGAGATATGATAAGTATGGCATTCAGACATGAAATGGCCCGACCTCACAAATCTCATATTTTAAATTTGATTAATAATTTTTGAAATATCAAAAATACGCTTATTTCTTTCTATTATAAAAAAATGGATAACCAAATTAAATCTAGAAATAAAATTTAAATATTTTTTCCCCTATGTCATAGAAACATTCGTGAAATTTTAATAAACTTTAAATTACAATATGCTTATTTTTTTTTGTTTAAGGAGTTAAGGAGCCGTCTAACTAAAATATTAATAAATAAAATAATTAATTTACAAGAAATTAAACAAATTATTTATGTATAATTAAAAGAAAATGCACAATACAACCGATATCAAAATAGAAGTGATTTATAAAACCGTTTTTATTGAGATAGAGGTTAGGGCCTTAATTGACATACAGTAGCAAAATTAGAAGAAATTAAAAATATGATGGCCAGAAAATGAGTACAAAAAATTTAATAAATCGGGCCCAGACATTTCTTAAATTTTAACTGGTAAGGAAATTGGTAGCATAAATTTATTGCAAATAGTGGATAAACATTTAACTAACTTGCCGGGCAAATTGGCTAAAATAAATCTTAACTCGCTGTGCTTGTATTATATCAAAGATTTATGGATCTCTTTCGCTAATAAATCGGAATTGTCAATATTAAAACATTTAAGAGTTCAAAAGAAATTTTACGTCTTTGTTGATTTTTCTTTATAAATATTTTTATAATAAAATAAATAAAGGTGGCATTACTGCATTATAGAGAAATTTATCATTATTAAGATTAATTTGTTATAGAGCTCTTAAATATATTCTAAACAATTATAGCTTATTATAAATCTGCGACTTATACTTTATTAGCTATAGACAATGATGAACCTATAAATTATTAATTTTATTATTCAATATTTTAAAAGATTTGTGAAATAACTTCTGCTCTGTGTAAATAAATGCTAAGTATGACTGAATACTTGCATTGCTAAAAAACAATCAATCATTTCTATTAAATATAATTTTCAGAAACATTTTTTTAAAAAAATTAAATTTTTTTAAAATAAAAATTTGAGATTAATATCATATAATATATAATTCTATTTCTATTCAATATTAATGAAAATAAAATATATTTACTAGCTACTAAACCTAGGTGCCCCTTTTGATATTAGTGATAGATCACGTCATCCAACGTGTCCTCTATTTTCATATTTATACGCCATATTTAAAAAATATTTTTGTGATTATTTTATTAAAATAACTATTCGCTACTTCACGTGATATAAAGCGGATTGCCCTCTAGCTTTGAAAATATAAAAGAGCTGCGCTAGGATTTCCTCATTTCCATCTAATTGTAACAAAATTTAATTTGGGTACAAAGAATATGAGGAGTCTTCTACACGTTTGTGGGCAAGCCGCACATACTTGTACGCGCAACATTCGGAAAGAATGTTGCAGACGTCCTTAGGGTTTGTAAAAAAGAGAGCGGGTTAAAAACAAAAGCTATGTCCGAGAACTGTAGTATAATTTAATTAATTTAAGGGTTGGTTTTGAATGTTTTTTTAATTTAAGTATTATCCTTTAACATTAATTTTGAGAAAAATTCAAGTATTTGATTTACTTTATCCGTTGGAGGCGTATGCTATGGTTTATGAAATATATTTAGAAATACTAATGATATTTTAGATTTTATTAAGCCTAGAATTTTTCATTTTAAACATCCTTTCTTGATCCGAAATAGGTTTTTAATGGCAATTTTGCAATTATTTATTTTTTTCATATTTACATTTAGCTCAATCACGTCTTTTATTGTCTTATAATACCATAATAATTTATATTTCGTGTATTCCTTCATTTTGTAAGTATATAGCTCATGTTATGGCATCATGCACTATGGTCAGAGTTTTTTATGTTACCGGCAGGAATTGAATTCGGAGTTTCTCTAAGGTAATGTTTATTGGGGTGTGTTTTGATATTCTCCATATATTGGTGTTTAATATAACTACTTGGAAAAAAAATACCATTTATAGTGTGGAAGAAATTATTTATGAAGGTTTGCAATCTCCTGTTTTCTGTCTTATTTAATTCCCATATGTCTCCACCAAAAAAATAATATTGGGATTATAGTTGAGTTGAAGATTCTTGGTCTGGTGAACACTGAGATCTCTATGGTTTTCCATATCCCCATGTATTTATAAAAAGCCCCTCTCGCTTTCTGTATCGTTATTTTCATCT